ACCCATCCGCCTGCCTGAGTTTCTGCTCCAGCTGAACCAAAGGCCAGATGGTCATCCAGTGTGGTCAATGCAATGACAGAGACACATGGAGTCGTATCATGGGAAGGGAGACCAGGAGTCTAATTCTGGGCTGAATGTTAAGTCCTTGGGTAGAGCTGGTGCTCAGAGAGGACAGGGTCTAGGGAGGCGGGGCCCTTGGGCTGCCCAGCTCTGTTGCTTCTCATCCTCCCAGGTGAGCAACCGAGGAAGCAGATCCGCAGCCTCAGGGCGGGGTTGCCCTGGGGCCTTCTGGCTCACCCAGGAGAACCTCCCATCGCTAGGTCTTCACCTCATGAGGGCTCATGAGCTTGTCCCTTTTCTCACTTTTTAGCTCTTGCTTGAATCCTTTCTATTAGGTTTAAGAAAGACACACGAAGTTGTAGCTTCAATGCTTTTATCTTATAAGATCATTTGTTCTAGAAAGTCTGGAACTGAAATGTATGGCGAGTCAATGGAGAACATGGGATCAGTGTGATATGGATTCCGTAGTTGGCATCACTGCTGTGGTCAATGTCAAAGGCCCTGCAGCTGGGTGCTTTGCTGTGGAACCACTAGACCCACTAGGAGCAGCCTCTGCACAGCCAGGTGAGCGGGTGCAGCAGCTGGACCTCCTGAGGCCATCAGCGCAGGTCAGGAGCAATCACACTCCTGTGGCAATGGGTCCGCTGGTACTTCCTCCCCCGAGACCAGTTTAACACTGAGATGCTCCAAAAGGACAAAGATTTATGGGCCACAGGGAGCGGGAGGGAGTGAATTATAGGAGATAATTATTGCTCAGAGTCAGTGCTTTTGTTTCCTTGAGCTCTGCAGTTGTGCTGTTAGGTGGTTTTGGAGGTGGCTCTGAGCCAGTGGAACTTGGAAGGACAAAGGTCTGTGTTGTGGAAGGTGAAATCCTTCCTTGACTCTGTCCCACTCCTCAGGCCTTGGACTTGTTGGAGCTGCTCACAGTGCAGGCGGCTGCGGCCCTGCCCTCAGGTGGTGGTGTCAGACACATGGATTTGTGTTTTCCAGGCTCATCAGTTGACATCACGGGTCCAGAAGCAGTGAGAGGTCTGGAGCGGGGAGTCTTGACCGTGCAGTGTCGCTATGACCCCAGATGGGAAAACCACCTGAAGTGGTGGTGTCGAGGGGCTGAATATGGAAGCTGCAAGATCCTTGTTCAAACCAATGGATCAGCGTTTGGGGTGAAGGAGCGTGTGTCCATCAGGGACTATCGGACAAACCACACGATCACTGTGACCATGAAGGAGCTCAGGCGAGAAGATACAGACACTTACTGGTGTGGGATTGAGAGAACTGGAACTGACCCTGCGGTCCCTGTTAAAGTGACCATTGACCCAGGTAAGAGGACGTGCATGTGTGGCTGTGTCTCTTCAGGGCCTGCTCTGCCCTGGTCCCTGAGGTCCCTGTCCAGTGACTGAACTCACTCAGATGAACTGCCACAGAGGGGGGTTGGTCCTGAGGTCTCATGGAACCCTGGCTGCTCACTTAGGCTGGGAGGTGCAGGGCTTCTCTTAGATGCTCTTGGGGCTCAAGAGGGGATCAGGTCTTTCTGGGCACATTTTTTTTCTCTGCACAGCTCATCGCCTGAGTCTATTGCCCATAGAGAATACGGCGATAGCCCCAGTTTTAGTTCATGGGCTGATGGAACCTTCTACTATGAATCCCAGAGATTCCATTCCTGCCAAGGCTTCCCTGGCCCTCCGATGCCCTGGTGTCCCTGCTCTTCCTGGAGGTTGGGGCCCGGGCTCATAGCCACTGTTCCCACCCCTTGTTCCATATCCGGTCTCAGGGGGAAGGAGGCCCAGCACAGTTGGGGGCTGTGGGTCACTCCCGAGGTCTGGAAAGGCTTCCACAGCCCAACAGTTGCATTCAGGGCGCCTGACATCCCATCATGAGCCATGGGTGCATCTGGGCTTAGAGACGTTCTCTTCCTGAGACCTTCTGGAATAGACACTCCTGGGAGCATCTGGGTGTGAACAAGTGTGTCTGTTGGGCTCTGCTTCTGCCGACCCTCGGACAGCCAGCACCAGCTCACAGGGCACTCATGGCCGGGAGGGGACACACTCATAGCGTCCCCACCACACCTGGAACCCGGGAGGCCTGTGGTAGCTGCCAAGTGCAGCACGTTCCTTGTCTCATGGGATCTCGAGAATGATCCTGAGCAAGAACTACCCCATCATAGAAACTTAAAAACTTGCCCAAAGCGGAACCCCAGGTGCCCTTGACCTGAGGCAGTCCTGGGCCCCTTCACTCTTCTAGGGCCTGCTGGATGTCCTCTTGGACCTGTGCCCAGACTCGACGGCCTCTGAGCCTCTGAGTCTCCTAGAAGCCAAGGAGACATGAGTGGTCCAGCTAGACGCCCCATCCCAAGGCTCCCTTCCAGGCCCCACAGGCCAGGGCAGCCCACATTCCTCCCCGGCTCCGAGCTACGTGCAGGGCTGCGGGTGGGATAGCAGGAGAGTGGAATGTAATCTGTTCTGTATGACAAGCACCAACTACAGTGCCGACCCCCACCTCCGCCATCACCTCCACTGCCAACGCCTTCACAGTCGCCCCAGAAGACACCACCGGCTCCCCGACTGTGACCAGCCACCACTCCGATGGCAGGTAAGTCAGCTTGGATGCTGCTGTTCCCTGTGGCCCACTTGTCCCAGACTTCTCTCACACAGACATGGGGCATCCCCCGTGGAGCTCAGAGTGTGGGAGGTGGACGAGCAGGCATTCAGGGCAGAGGGCATGGCCAGGGTGTGTGGGCACGGGCGTCATGGGGACCACAAGGCCCCTTGGTCCAAATTCTGGGAGAACAGGAAGGGCCTGGGGAAGTCCTGTTTCCCTAGTTACTGTTATGGCAACAGCAGTGACCCTGATAGAGCCCCTGGCAGCTCACAGAGGACTTTGCTGTCTGTTACTCTGTTCATGTGTTGACCCTGCCGACGACCACCTCAGGAGGAACAGGAAGTAGACATGCAGGTTCCCATTTTACAGAGGAAGAAACTGAGCCGGGCTCACGTCTCCCGGCTCTGCAGCCGCAGGAGCTTTCTGGAAGCTGAGAGGCCTCTTTCGTTTCTCCCCTTCACCCTCCGTGGCCCTCTTCGCTTTGCCTTTAGATCGGCTGTATCTTCTACTGCTGGGCCTTCCCGCAGAGTCTCGATGGGACATCCCGTCTTTCCAACCCGGGGACGCCTCTGCCCTCTCCCATTTGCTCTCTGTTTTGAGAGTTGCTTTCTACCGAACTGCTTATTTACTTTTAAAAATATGTTCTTACTGATTTTAGGAGAGAGGAAGGGAGAGGGAAAGAGCGAGAGAAACATCCATGATGAGAGAATCACTGATGGGTTGCCTCCTGCACGCTCCCTACTGGGGATTGAGCCTGCAAATTGGACATGTGCTCTGACTGGGAATCAAACCAGCAACCTTTTGGTGTATGGAACGACACTCACCCAACTGAGTCACACCGACCAGGGCCGAACTGCTTTTCATAAGACTAGCAAGCAGTTTTTAAATGCAAGAATCAAGGCCAGATGTAAGTGCCAATTAGGGCTTTTGCTCACATTATGGATAACTCACTCATTTATTCAACAAAGAGCTATTGAGCCCCCCTCATGTCTAGCACCGATTTAGGGAACACAGGGGGGATAGGAGATGAACAGAACAATCAAGCTGTCTGTCTGCCCTCCAGGCACTTACAATCGAGGGATAGTTAATGTAGCAAATAGAGTTAAATCACTAATTGATGGATTTATTTTACGAATTTCTGTGAGCTGTGACGAGTAAGAGAGAATCCTGTGTGCGTAGCTCGGGCTGCCATCACAGAGCAGCACTGGCTTAGACAACAGACATTTGTTTTCTCAAGTTCTGGGGGCCAGACGTCTGCGTCAAGGTGTCGGTAGGGTTGGCTCCTCCCGAGGCCTCTTCTCCCTGTGTCTTCCCATGGTTTCCCCTTTGTGTGGGTCTGTGTCCCAGTCTCTCCTTCTTCTTATAAGAACCCCAGGCATTTCCTCCCAGAAGAGCAAGCGAGGGTGAGAAGCGTGAGGAACCAGAAGAGAGAGTGTGGGGGCACGTGGGGGCCACTGTCAGCCTGGGGTCCCAGGCTCGTCCTCACATAGGTTCTTGGGATCCACACTCCGGCGCAGGGGGGGCTGGGAAGAGGGGTCCCGGGCGGTAGCTCACTTCTGTCTCCGTGTCCCCCACAGGTCCCTGCTCAGCAGCACCCGCTTCCTGCTCCTGGTCTTCCTGGAGGTGCCCCTGCTCCTGAGCATGCTCAGTGCCGTCCTGTGGGTGAACCGGCCTCTGCGGGGCTCGGGGGGGAGGCAGAGTCAGCCCGGCTCTGAGGACCAGTAACCAGTAGCTCCCATGTTCATCGATGTCATGTCTGAAAGTAAGAAACTCAAACGGAAGAAAGACTGTTTTATTGTGAAATGATGGTGGTCAGCAGGGACCGTGGCTCTAGAGGCAGCCTGGGCCCTGCCTCAGGGACAGGACCCTAATCCCTGGGACCCCACAGCTGTGATGCCTGGGCCTCTGCCGCCCCCCTTCTGTGCACAACCCCTGGTCTTCCCTTGTCCTGAGGCCCCCACAGAGCAGGAAATACGAACAGAAGTGCAGGAAGAGGCCTTTCGCCCGGGGCCCAAGTCCTTGCGGGGCATTTCCGGCCTTGAGCCACCTGCCAGGGTCCTGGACTGATTTCTGCGCCCCATGTCCCCTGAGGTTTAGGGCTCCCGCCAATCCTGGGTTTCACAATTCTTGACCCGTGAATAGAAAAACCGAACCGTGCACCGACGACACGCCAACCACGAGTGAAGACCTGATGCACGGGGAACAGAAGCTTCTGGAATCCTTGCCCTGCTGTGTTTTTGTTACATGTGGGGAAGGAAGCTCTGGTGCCAGCTCCATCCCTTGCCTCCTGCACGTCTGACGTTGGCATCACAGCCCCTCATTGTCCCCATCACCCTTCCTGTTAGGGTGCGTAAATGTTCTCACTTCTTTTGAGAGCATCCGGTGTGGCTGCCAGTCTCATTCTGGCGTCACAGGGAGATGCCCACGTATTTTGGGGACTGTGACGTGAACCATCGGTCGGACTGTGGAGCCTGGACCAGCCTAGCAGCTGGGAGCTCTCAAGAGCCGGACCCGGATCGCTCCCATCAGGATGGGAGCCTTCCTGGCCGTCAACTGTGGAGGAGGGACGAGACACCAGGATGCTGCTGCTTCGGAAAGACAAAAACATTCTTCCTCTCCGGCTCCTCCCTGGACTTGAACTTCTGGCAGCTTCAAGATTGAAAAGGGAGGCCACTAGCGCAAAGGGCAGAAGAAACAGCATGAGCCAGGCCAGGAGGGACGGTGTGGGACATGGCCAGGGGAGGTCTCGTCCGCAAGGGACCCTGCTCATCCCGCTGGGGCCAACTTGCCTCTCCAGGTCGCCCTGGGCACTGTGCTGGGGCCCTGAGACCCGCCATGAGCATCCTTTTGTTTTTAAATCCTCCCCCGAGGATATTTTTCCATTGATTTTTAGAGAGAGTGGAAGACAGAGAGAAACATCGATGTGAGAGAAGCACATCGATTGGTTGCCTACTGCATGAGTCCCGACCAGGGCCCCGGGCTGGGGAGGAGCCTGCAATCAAGGTACATACCCTTGACCGGAATCAAACCAGGGACCCTTTGGTCCACAGGCTGACACTCTATCCACTGAGCCAAACTGGCTAGGGCATGAGCATCTTATTTTTTTTTTTTTGCTTTTTTAAAAAATTGTTTTATTGCTTAAAGTATTACAAAGAGTATTATATATGTCTCCTTTTTTTTTCTCCCCTTGACCTTCCCCTAGCCTCCCATACCCCCCAGTGTCTTGTGTCCGTTTGTTATGCTTATATGCACACATACAAGTCCTTCAGTTGATCTCTTACCCACCCCCCGAGCATCTTATTTTTAACAGCGCATTTAAGCTACCGTGGACTGTGCTGTACAAGGTGAGGACTTTGGCATCTTGCCCTTTGCCCACCCTCCCCTTCCCAGTACTGATTTTGCTGGTATCGTACTTTTTGCATGGATGATATTTATAATTCCTTCTGTAAATATTTCCCATGGTTGTTTTGTATTTTTTCCTATTTTTAAATATATTCCCTGTTCACCGTAGCTTCTTTTTTCTCCATTGTTTGATTTATTTCTTGGTTGGCACAATTTCATCACGATGTTATTTTTCTGTTTTCCAGGGGCTCGCGGGTGCTGTATTTCAGAAGCGCTTGTGTGCATGGGAGTGTTCGTTGCCAAAAGCAACGATCCTGGGTAGAAAATTCCCAGAGGGTCCTGTCTTTTCTGGGAACATGTAGATTTTCCTTCACATCCCCTGGGATGCCGTGCCGTGGTGACATCTGAGGCCAGCCTCTCCCCTTCATATTCACAACTTACTCTCTCTGACCTGCGTCTTCTTTGATATGGGCCCATGTGATTCTATCTTTGTCCTGGAGGCTCTGTAACTTCAGAAGGTTCTAGGTGTGGGTCATTAGGAACCCCCACCCCCTCCTCCACTGGGACACTGTGTATTTTCAGTTGCAGATGGAAGGGTTTCTTTATTTCAGGATAATTTTAAATTAAATTCGATCATTTTCACTTGTGGCTTATTTTTCTTTTTCTTAAGGAGCATTTGTGGAATGTCCTTCCTCTGTCTCCTGTACCTGTGTCTGCCTCTCCAGACATTTTTATATTGTGCGTATTTAAACTTCACTGTTGGGCCCCAGCAGGTGTGGCTCCATGGGTGGGGCATTGCCCTGTGCACCGAAAAGTTGCTGGTTCGATGCACAGACAATGCACAGACCCGCAACCCAGCTGTTTTATAGACAGGAATTTATCCCACAGGCACATTCACCAATGCATATCAAGCCACACATGCAAAGACAGTCATTAAGGAATTACATGTAGTTACAAACAGCTGAAAACAACTCAAGTGTCCATCAAGAGGGAAAGAATGAAACAAATCGTAATATGCAGATATCATGGAATACTATGCAGCCATTGAAAATAAAAGTCTACAGGCAGCCCTAGCCGGTCTGGCTCAGTGGGTAGAGTGTGGGCCTGCTGACTAAAGGGTCCTGGGTTCGATTCTGGTCAAGGGCACATGCCTGGATTGCGGGCTTGATCCCCATTAGGGGACATGTAAGAGGCAGCCAATCAATGATTTTCTCTCATCATTGATGTTTCTATCTCTCTCTCTCCCTTTCCCTTCCTCTCTGAAATCAATAAAAAAAATATTTTAAAAAATATGGGGTGATTTTGAAAATACAGTAAGTTAAAATAGGCAAGCCACAGACAGCACCTGTAAGGTGTTACTTTTCCCTGAGGAGGGGAAAGACCACACACACACACACACACACACACACGCACAGAATTTCTTCAAAGGACACACAGACACACAGGATAACCTACCGCCAACTGCACCCAGACCGGGTGAGCTGGGAAGGAGGGAGCGAGTCTGAATCCTGAATTGAGAGCAATCACGTGACTCACGGAGGGTCACAGCTAAAAATCACTTTTGGGGGCGTCCTTTTCTTTTAAGTCACCTTGAAAAGAAAGTAAGTTTACCTAAGATGTCACAGAAAGTGGTGAAAAAATGACAGAATATGGCCTGGGCCCTTGCAGTTGGTTGGGTGTCATCCCGTGCACCGAAAGGTTGCTGGTTCGATTCCCAGTCAGGGTACATGCCCAGGCTGCAGGTTTGCTCCCCGGTTGGGGCACATGCAGGAGGCAGCCGATTGGTGTTTCTTTCTCTCTCACAATCAATTAAAAAACAACCACACAGAATATGGACGTGAATTTTTGTACCTTTTCATATTCTGGAGCCCTAAGGTTTACATTAGGGGGGGCAGTCCAGCATAAGTAGACAGAAGCCAGTGGCCTGAAGAAGCCGCTGCGTCTAGCACAGTCCTTCTCCCTGGCTCTGCCGGCAATGTGAGATTGCTCAACACGTTGTGCGGGAAGCCACCCCACATAGGAGGGTGCGCGCCCACACACAAGAGCACACACAAAACCACAGAAAATATGAAGCTTCCTCAGCAAAAACTGAACAAGAATTTTTATTTTTACCGAGACGCCCAATTAAGAGAAGTTGTTTGACAACAGAATCCCCGAACTGCAGAGCTTCCTCCGGACATGAACCTAAGCTCCTGGATAAAGCATTTCCCACCTGTGTCTGCCTTTATTCGTCCCTGTGGCTGCTTCATGAAATTGGGTATATTCCCGGCCAGGTAACACCTGACCTGCCTTCCCATTTACGGAAACATCTCTACCCAGGAGACACTTCACCTCTCATTCAACCACCCAGGTTCAAGGTGAGGCTTGAGGGTGGTTTGTCAAGTTCTCCTTGAAGCCAGAGCAATGGAGACCAGTCATGAGCACATGACCAAGATGAAACTACTCAAGGCTTCTGGGGTCTGAGGAGGGCAGACAAGAGCTGGGGGCTCAGAAGAGCAAAGCCCCCCATGTGGACCCAGCCTCACCATCTGTCCCACCCAGAGACAGGGCCGGCTTTCTGGGGGCACAGCGCCATGCACACCCACCGGGCCCTGCACTTAGAACGACCTCCCTCTTGGTGTAACTCTCGTAGCCGCCATTCGAATTTCTTAATATTCTGGAACATGTCCATTTGCATGGGGCCCTGTACGTAACTGGCCTTGTCTAGACAAGGCCTAGTCATGCCTGTACCGCACGGGACTGCTCATCTCGGCCACAGGAAATGAGCACTTCACGAAGGGCAGGGCTTCCTTGGGAAATGGGGATGGAAATGGACCCAGGCTGCTGGGGAGGGAGGGGCTGCCGGCTGTGGCTGAGTGATGGGAGGGGTGCTCTCATGTCTGGGAAGAGAAAAGGGAACTACAAGTTCAGATTCAGCACCGAGTTTCTCCATCCATGTGATGCCCCGCTCCCTCCGCTGCCTACACTTTCTGACCTGCTCTGAGGACAGAAACAAGCAGAGACGGGGCCAAGAGAAGCAGAGGAGGGGACAGGGGAGCAGACCCTGGGCGAGGAGCCTGCAGCCCCCCGCCAGGTGCAGCCGGAGAGGCCAGCCCGAGGGACGGGGCCAGGTGGCTGCCATGGGCGCTGCTGCTTCTCTGTGTCCCAGGGGAGCGGGAAGTCTGCTCCGGCAGGTCAGGGTGAGCAAAGGGTGGTGATGGGCAGGGAACGCCACGAAAACACAAGCCAAGAGGGATGACGTGTGATTATAAAACCGCCAGCGCACCCTAGTTCCTCACTGGGATAGGATGAGGGTTAAGTGGGAAATGCTCTCCACACTGTGAGCGCAGACAGAGCCCCAAGGAAGTCTAGCCATTGTAATCATTAGCACCATCACTGTAGGGTCAGGAAGACGCCAGAGAGAAGAGGGCGGGGCGGAGAGCTAGGACTGTTGGGCTGGTGGCTGTTACCTGTCAAGGACAGAGCGGACAGCAGCGGTTCCTTGCAGTGAGAGGACTCCTCAGGTGTCTAGACCTCGCGCGACTCTCCAGGCAGGAAGCAGAGATTGTAGGGGCCTGCGTCCTCGTCATCTGGAACTGGAGCTTTCAGAGAGGCTGGAGAAGAAAGGGCAATGCCAAAGCCTTAGCGGTGGCAAAGGGCCTGCAGCTAAGGCCCAGGGCATGGCAAGGCTTGGGGGGGGTGGTGAGGCTGCCGAGGAGTAGGGGAGGGAAGGAACCACTGGTGGGTCATCGATGTGGAGCAAGGAGTCCCTGAAGATAGTCAGTGATGGCAAGTGTTTCTGCAGGAGTCTGTCCCAGGAGGGAAATCGAAGTCTTAATGTCCTTGAACCGTGGTCAAGAAGAGCCCCTTCTTAAATGGCCTCCTTATACCCTGGCCAACGCTCATCCTGTGTGACTCAGACCTATGAGCAGGAGGTCCTACCTGTACAAGCAGGGATTATAAACTCGGGGTCCACAGTGAGCTGAAGGCTTCCTCTTGGTTCCCAACACTGGGCTTTATCTAAATTTTCCTGTTCCCATTCTTATTTTCTGTTTCCTAGTCCATCTCTCCACCCATCCATCCATCTCTCCAACCATCCATCCACCCATCCATCCATCTCTCCGTCCATCCATCCATCCATCTATCCCTTTATTCAGATCATGCTTAGTAGCTTTATTCAATTCTAAGTAATGGACGGGACCCAGAACCTGTCTAGGACCACCAAAGTCTTCCTCTCCCCCTCACATTGTGAGTTGGTTGAACTCACACAGGCTGGTCATGGCCTCTTGAGTCTCAGAATCCCACAACAGGTGTCTCCTTAGATCTCCTCCTGTGTCTGCCTATACCTTGCTGGTGCCTGCCCCCTCCTTCAGGCCCCAGGGTGACTTCCAAAAGACCTGACACCCAGGGCCCCTCTGGCCCCGGCTCTTCCAGGGGAAGACAAGATGGATTGTGTTTTCCAGGCTCTTTGTCTCTGCGCGGCCCCAATAATGTGACGGGCACCGTGGGCGGATCCCTGAGCGTGCAGTGTCGGTACCAGAAGGAACATGAGGCATTTAACAAACACTGGTGCAGACAGCTGTGCTTGCCACTTTTCTCTGAGACTGTGGAGACCAGCGCCTCCAGGAGAGAGGTGAGGAGAGGCCGAGAGTCCGTCCTGGACCATCCTGGAAACCTCACCTTCACAGTGACCTTGACGAACCTCACTGCAAACGATGCAGGAAAATACAGGTGTGGGATTTCCACGCTACTGATGCAAGAGGGGCTTCCTGGCTTCTTGCCTGAACCCTTTTTCCAGGTTCAAGTGTTTGTTTCCCCAGGTAAGGCCCTCCTTCCTCTGCTACCAGCGAGGAAGGGGTCTGAGCGAATCTCTGCAGGGCGTCCCAGGAAATTTCAACTCAGGAGAGGGAATGGGGCCTGGTGTTTGTGCACCAGAGATTCAGGACCAAGTGCGTTGTGTGCATGTGACTGTGTGTGAGTGTGTGTGTAAGTGTGTGAAAGCATGAGGGTGTGTGTGAGGAAAACATGTGTGAAAATGTGGGTCAGTGGGAGTGCCAGTGTGTGTGTCAGGTGTGTGAGAGTGAGTGTGGGTGGGTCACATGCAGGTTTCCTGCCACCACCCCAGGTCCTGACAATGTCTGGGGGTTGAGGTGGGAGGGCCCTGTGTCATCGGATCCATCAGGACTGAGGGCCTCATGCTACCTTCCTGACTTCACAGGGTGGAGTGTGTGTGCACAGGGTGGAGGCCACTCCAAAGGGACCCCCTTCACACTGTCCGTTGGCTTGAGCTCTCAGGATTAAGACCTCTCTGCAACCCCAGGGCCCAGGGCCTCACCCAGGGTCCGCACAGGAACCTTGAGATGGTCTAAGGTCAGGGATGGCCCAGACTGCCAACCTCATCCCTCTGACTGGGGAGCCCTGTGCCAGAAATCCAAGGCCAGCCCCATCTCTCGCCCTGGCCTCTCTAGCACCCATATTCTGGGCCTTTCTTCAGCCTCAGGGAAAGCCCATTTTCTGGAAGCCCTGGCCCCTGGGCTCCAGGTCAACAGGGTTTGTTGGTGGTCGTGGGGAAGGAGGGAGGCCTCAACCCTCTGTCTGGTCTCTGTCTGTCTGGCATCCTCCCCCTGCTTCTGCATCTTCTCCCTCCGACTCACTTGACCAGGCAGGAGAGAGCCCAGTAAACCCCTGGGCCTGACAGGGCAGAAGAGAGATGGGGCACCTCTAAATATTTCTGTTCAAATCGTTGCTTGATCTTTTAATAAGTCCTTTTACTTCTCTCTTTCTTTCTCTCTTTCTCTCTCTCCTTCCTTCCTTCCTTCCTTCCTTCCTTCCTTCCTTCCTTCCTTCCTCCCTTCCTTCCTTCCTTCCATCCTTCCTTCTCTTCTTTCCTGAGAGCTGCATCATCCCTTATCAATCTAAGGGTGTGTTCTTTTTCTTCTGCTTCCTGCATTGTCTCAGCTTCTTCTGACACTTTTTCCTCATTGTGTTGGTTTCTCTCTTTCATGTTGGAGGCTTTCCTCTGAAGGTTTTGACTCTGTGCACTTAAGAATGCAGCCTTGAGGTGCTTTGTGGAGGCTGGAGGAGGAGCCTCACCTTTAGGTGACCGCCCTGAGATTTGGCTCTTTTCCTCTGGGTCCCTGAGTGTCTGAGTCTGGAGGTTCTTCCTCCGGGTTGGCACTGAGCCAGTGAGATTCTCCAGTCTCCCGTCGGAGGGAGTACAGGTGAGGCTGCCAATGTCCGAGGAGCTGGGTGGGCTGAGGGGGCTGGGGGTCCCACTTTCCAGAGTACAGATGCCATGTCTTTGGGGCTGGTAGCCCCTTTGTGTGAGGTAGCCCTACTTTCAAACTTCCCTGCATCAACCTCTATAGTCTTCTGCCAGGAGTGTTTGGGGTGGGGATGTGGGGGTGATAAGTGGGTGCACTGGCTGGGGGAGTGTGGAACCTGAGGTCTAACTCTTGACCTGATCTTCGAGCACTCCTGTTTTCAGGGAGACGAGGAATGCCTAACTGCTTAATGGCAGAAGGCGATCTCTCATCCTGGTTATAGTGTTCACCTGGCTACGAGCACATTGGGATGGGGTTGGAGGGGATACTCCTCTACGCTGCTCAGGCCTGGGTCTGACTATGGGGAGAGGATGGGCTGAGAACATCTGTTCAGCCCCTTCCCCGAGCTCCCTCTGCTTTGTGAAGTTAGGACCATGCAGGTGAGGGGTATCTAGGTGGGGAGAGTCCTGGGCGGACCACTGGGCCCTGTCCCTCACCCTCCATCTCCCCCACAGCCTCCAGCAGCAGGAGCTCTGCAAGGACGCCTGGACCTCCCAGCCAAGACCCAGGGTAAGGCGCACGTGTCCCCGTGTCTGCTACCATCTGCACGGCATCTTCCCGAGGGTAGGGCTTCCCAGACACAGGCTTCCTCAACGAGCCACTCACTCAACAAATATTTCATTTACTTCTTATGTGCCAGGAACTGATGCAAATGCTGGGGATATGACAGTGAACAGGCAAGGCTGTGCTCTCAAGGAAGTTTCCTTCAAATGGGTAGATTTAAACATGACCAAATGGATGAGTAGCTAGATAGGTAGGTGGGTAGATAGATAGATAGATACACACACACATAGAGGAAATGTCATTAATGATCATTACTATGGAGAAAAATTAAGCAGGTAGGTATGAAAGGACAGGGTGATGGGATGTGTGTGGGGAAGGTGATCGGGCATGATGAAGGCTAGTGAGATGCTCAATGAAAACAAGTAACAAAGAGACTTAGATTGTGTTTCCTCACAATCGGATCCCGAGATGAGAATTTAGGTGTCGAGAGTTTACAGAGAGGTGATCCCAGGAGGCCTAGTGAGGGAGCGGGAAGGAGGGAAAGACAAATGAAGTGCCCCTTGATGAGAGAATTCCCACTGGAGCAACCGGGCTCAATGCCCTGGGCTCCCTCAGAGAGGCTGCCCATGGAGCAGCGAGGAAGCCGGGGTGGGGATCCACACACGTCTGTCCTCCTGGCGGGGGCAGATGGCAGGTTTGCTAGTTTATACAGAGTGATGCGCGAAGGCCTCCCAACTAGTGATATTTGAGCACAGACCTGAAGGAAGTGGAAGAGTCAACCAAGAAAGTATCTGGAGTAGGACAGTTCTGGGCAGAGGGTCACTCTTGGGGCCTGAATCCTGGGGCATTTCTGGCCTGCTCTGCCCAGCAAGCCATGCCCACTCCTACGGCCAGAGAGAATCCTCAGGCAACAAGGGGCAGGGGCTTGAGGTGAGAAGCCATTGGCGGGTCCAAGACTGTCCAGAGCTACCAGAAGCTCAAGTGGGCAAACAGAAGGTACCAACAGGGTTGGCTACATTTGTGAGGAGCTGGAATGGGCAGTGTACTGGGACCCAGGGGGTGAGGGGATGGGCAAAGTCACTCCTTGGGGTAGAGGTCGTTGGGTGGTTTAAGCAGAATATCTGCTCCCATGATCATATTCAAGGATGAGCCAGGACTTGCATTTGAGTGTGGAGTGGTTATAAGGGGACATTCATCCTCAAAGTTGGTCCCAGCAAGAGCTGGGGTCCTGTGAGTGTTGATGGCTGAGGGCTTTCTGGGTGCCAGGGTCTGCCCGGAATCCCACATCTGTCTTCCCTCCGCTTCTCACACCAAGTATTCATGCACCTGCTGTGTTCTGACCTCGAAGTTCATTCTGGAACTAAACAAAGAACAGGCGTCTGTGGTCCTCAGCATGGGGCTGTCTGGCCCTGACACCATCCAGGTTTGACACTGGTATTGAGTTTTGAGGCCATAGGACCTGAGCTCAAAGGAAGGCAGGGGAGAGGCAGAGCCTGGGCCTCTCATTGACTGCTGGCCACTGTCCCTCTCACAGGCCCCTGCTCAGCAGTGTCCACTTCCTGCTCCTCACATTCCTGAAGGTGCCCATGTTCCTGAGCATGCTCAGGGCTGTCCTCTGGGTGAACAGGCCTCAGCGGGCAACTTGTGAGGAAACACAGTTTGGCTAAGACAACCTGCCACTGTCCCCGCCCATCCATGTCCTGTCCAGAGACACAGCCACTCGGGCTACAGAAGACAGAACCTCAACCCTGAACCTTACATCCCTTTTCAGCTTATCGCTAGAGACGGGGAAAAAACCCATTTTAATGACTATATCACCTACACAAACGTGTGTATATGACCAGTTGAAGGACTACAAATAAACATCTGTGTACCCGCCATTCAGCCTAAGAAATCAAACATCATGGAGACATTTAACGCCTCCACCTACTTCTCCCTGACTTCAAGTCCTGCCAGCGTCAACCACTCTCTGAAATGAAATGATTATTTTGAGCCAATCATTTCTATTACCCAACCTCACGGGTAAGAAGGAAGAGCACGCTTGTGGCAGTTTTTAAAGCCAAAACAGGTGGCGCCAGAGACAATCTGCAGAGCTTCACTATGGACCTCTTCATGGACTTAGAAATAATTCTTCTCCAACAGGATTGCTTCTCAGTTGCTGGGTCCCTCCCAGCTGATCCCCAAATCCAGACCCATTGTATCCTGCTGGCCTTTCCCCCAGGCTGGGTCCACTCCCCGCCCCTTGTTGCTCATCAGCCTGGGCTATCTGAGTAGGGACCCACTTGTCTCCGTTGGGGCCAACCAGATGTGCACTCAGGCATTCAGGGGGCCAGGGGCTCAAGGTACAACCAGGGATCTGGAGCCCAGTGGGCAGCTCAGACTGGAGTAGACTGAACCTAGGGGAGGGGATGGAGCAGGTGTGAGAGACGAAAACACCTGATTCCAGTTCAAGGCTTCAGATTTCTTGAGAAGCAACACCATGTGGATCTGCTGATTTCTCACTCCCTGGGAGAGGCAGAGAGACCAGGGCTTCAGTGAACACGTTCAGCGAGCTTAGAACTTCAGGTGCTGACAGCTGTCACCACTTCCTATTCCCCAGGAACAAGGGAACTTGTGTCTAAGGAACTAACTATGACCAGTGCCAGGAAGCGTCTAAGGAAGGGCAGCTGTGGGGATGAGAAACAAGAAGGCAGAGTTGCAGGGGCGAAGAGAGATGGGTGGGAAGTGGGGAGGGGTGGCGGGGTCCATCTTGCAGTGTCCTGGGAGAGTCTACAGTTTGGCCCTGGCCTGGCATCCCATGAACAGCCTTAAAATTAGTCTTTAACATGATCTCTACATTGAATTATCTACACCACCAAAGGCTGTGTTGGTAGACATGTTGATGCTATGTATTTATACATGTGTGTTTTATTCCTACTAAGCCACCAGAAAGTTAACATTTTACTGTATTACAAAGCCACTGTTCTCAAAACTGCCTGGTACTGGCACAAGAACAGACATATAGATCAGTGGAATAGAATAGAGAGTCCAGAAATTAGCCCGAACCAATATGCTCAATTAATATTTGACAAAGGAAGCAAGAACATACAATGGAGCCAAGATAGTCTCTTCAATAAATGGTGTTGGGAAAATTGGACAGATATATGCAAGAAAATGAAACTAGACCACCAACTTACACCATACATAAGAATAAACTCAAAATGGATAAAGGACTTAAATGTACGACAGGAAACCATAAAAATTCTAGAAGAATCCAAAGGCAACAAAATCTCAGACATATGCCAAAGCAATTTCTTCACTGATACAGCTCCTAGGGCAGTTGAAACTAAAGAGAAAATGAACAAATGGGACTACATCAAAATAAAAAGCTTCTGCACAGCAAAAGAAACCATCAACAAAACAACAAGAAAACCCACTACGTGGGAAAACATATTTGCCAACGTCATATCTGATAAGGGCCTAATCTCCAAAATTTATAGGGAACTCATACAACTTAACCAAAAGAAGATAAACAATCCAATCAAAAAATGGGCAAAGGATCTAAATAGACACCTTTCAAAAGAGGACATCCAGAAAGCCAAGAGACATATGAAAACATGCTCAAAGTCACTAATCATCCGAGAGATGCAAATCAAAACAACAATGAGGTACCATCTCACACCTGTCAGAATGGCTATCATCAATAAATCAACAAACGACAAGTGCTGGAGAGGATGTGGAGAAAAAGGAACACTCGTGCACTGCTGGTGGGAATGCAGACTGGTGCAACCACTATGGAAGACAGTATGGAGTTTCCTCAAAAAGCTGGAAATGGAACTCCCATTTGACCCTGTGATCCCACTTCTAGGAATATATCCCAAGAAACCAGAAACACCAATCAGAAAGGATATATGCACCCATATGTTCATAGCAGCACAATTCACCATAGCTAAGATCTGGAAACAGCCTAAGTGCCCATCAGTAGATGAATGGATTAGAAAACTGTGGTACATCTACACGATGGAATACTATGCTGCTGTAAAAAAGAAGGAACTCTTACCATTTGCAACAGCATGGATGGAACTGGAGAGCATTATGCTAAATGAAACAAGCCAGTCAATGAAGGAAAAATACCACATGACCTCACTCATTCATGGATAATAAAGACCATTAAAAACTTTTGAACAATAATAGATACAGAGGCAGAGCTGCCTCAAACTGATTGTCAAACTTCAGTGGGAAGGCCAGAGAGGGTTGGGGGGCAGAAGGGAGGGGAGTAAGAGATCAACTGAAGGACTTGTATGCATGCATATAAGCATAACTAATGGACATAAGACTCTGGGGGGTAAGGGAGGGAAGGGGATTGTCAAGGGCGGGGCGGGGGAAGGACACATATGTAATACCATTTGTAATACTTATTTTAATATTTTTTTAAAAAGAATAAAAAAAAAGAAAGTTAACATTTTAATGTAATAGTCATCTTCTCATTGTCTGATTGATTATTCTTTGTGGATTTGTGTATTAAAAGTTGATTCCTGAACTTGACATATTTAAAACATGCCACCATTTTGGTAACCCTAGTCTTACATCTTTTTTTTTTTTTTCAAGATGCTGAGAGCTTCAAAAATAAAAGTGAACTATGTGTAAGGTGTCAGGTGGGGACTAGACTTATCGGGGAGATCACTTGTAAGGTAGATAAGTATCTGGGCGCCATGTTGTTCACCTGAATCTAAGGCCTGGAGAGGGATGGACACTCTGCCTGAAACATGGGGTCACTAAGGGACAAGGGGAGTGAGACCCTTGTCAGGTCCACTCGGGTCGAGTAGGCCCAGCACGGAGAGTGTGTCTTATTGGACGACGTGCGGCAAGGAGTGCCACTGCCTGCTATTGATTTCTGTGACTCTTGCTGATGAGTAGAGAAGAGAGAGAAAGGGCGATAGGGGGATTAGGAAAAGAGGGATGTCACTGTAGTGGTGAGAGGACAGAGGACACAGAAGGTCAGAGAAAAAGGAGGGGAAGGGACAGCTTGGAGAGACTTGGAGTAAGGATGGATGGGGAGTGAGGAGAGAAGAAGCCCATGTTACAGGAGTTGGGTTGCAACCACTCTGGGTTATTATTGCCTTTGGTCGCGGTAAGCTGGTGTAGAAGAGGAACAGGTCTGGGAAGAGAGTGTTTGGGGGAAACGGATAGACCTGGATTGCACAGGACAAGGTTTGAAACCAGCCTAACCCAGGTGACACCTTAAAATAGGCCGCACCTCTTGACCTGCCCCCCTACCATTTCCAGGGCAAATTGTCCCGGGAGCCATCATGTCCTGAGACTACTGAGCCTGTCTGAGGTAGGACAGACCTGCCTCCTCACCTCCTGGGAAGGACCATCCCCATCTCTGCCCCTTGAAGAGGCCCCTGGTCACCCCTGTGAACCCCAAAGGGACACCAGCGGCCAGTGCCTTTGGGAAGACCGCCCTCTCTGTGCCATTGGAAGGAGAGGAAAGGCTCAGTCTCAGCTGCGCAGGGTCCCCCACTCTCCATGCTCTGAGCTCTGAGCTCTCCTTGTCCACTGTCAGACCTCTGTGCCGAGTCTCACCATGGAGCTGACTTTCAGAGGAAGAAAGAGGAAAACGTGGAGTCCTCACAGGGTTGGTGAACAGGGAACCCACAGGAGAGAGGACTCAGCCTTGGGTGGGACCCCACAACCAAGATGGGACCTTTGAAGGCATCTAAAGTCATAGAAGAGTTGGGGGCCCACAGGGTCAGAGCTCCCGTGGGTGCCTGCAGCTACATGTTGGGGGTCAGAACACCTCTGTGGTCACCACCAAGGCCCGAGGGGATGAAAAGGTGTGGCCTTCAGCCCAGGACTATCATTCTTGACACAGGGAAGTGACATATGGCAGAGGGTGGGGACACCACCAAGGAGGAAACATCCCAGCGGCTCTGCTGTGCAGAGACGTGTGTGGCCCTCAGAGGAGCAGCCATGTGCTCTGAGAAGGGGCAGCAGCCTCTCTGAGGCCACGGGCCCTGTCCTGTCATTGGGGTTGAGAGCAGAAGCCCAGGGTGCCGAGAGCCGGGGTCTGCAGCAGCCTGTGCAGCTCCTGACCCTAAGCTTCCTGCACCCTGACCATCCAGCATCGGACTCAAAACTTCGCTGGACACGGAAGAAGAGAGGATTAGAAAAGCAGAAGTGTGCACAGGGCAATCAAACCTCAACGAGGAGGCTTGACCGTGTCCACCCACAGGACCTGGCGCTGCTGCAGGCTGTGTCTGTGCAGAGACATGACCCCGAGGAGTGGGGCCATGTGGCTGCCTTCAGCTCTGCTCCTTCTCCAGGTCCCAGGTGAGTGGGGCTGGGCTGCGTGGGGAGCTGGGCCCCGAACTGGAATGAGGAAAGACTGGGAGGGGGAGTGGGTAGAGGGTGAGGAGCAGCCCAGCAGGAGGGAGGGAGGACATGAGGAGAGCAAGGGGAGGCAGAGAAGCTTCTGGGAGCAGCCAGCACCTGCCTCAGCAGCAACCACACAGATTCAGTGCACAAAGCAGGTGAGTCTCAACCACTACACCCACAGAGCTGTCCTGGGGAGGCAGGGCCTGTGCTCACCACTTTATGGTCATAACCAGGGAAGTGGGCCCTGACTGAGGGTTCAGTGGTTAGAGCGTCAACCTGACACAGGTTCAATTCTGGGTCCAAGGCATGTACCTGGGCTCATGTAGGAGGCAACCAATCAATATGTCTCTCTCTTTCTCTGCCTCCCTACCTCTCTTCCACTCTCTCTAAAATGGAAAAATATCCTTAAGTGATTAAAAATACATCAGAGATGTGGTCTTGGTGCATCACATACACACACATGTACACACATACATACATGTGCACACACTCCTTTATTCCCATCGTGGCCTTTCTTGTCTCCATGGACACCCTCTCCCTGTGTCACCACTGA